TTTGAACCTTTTCCCCCTCACCCTATCACTGCACTCCCTGATCAAAAGTCCCTCCCCACCTTTCCTGTAGGCCCCCTTCAAGTAGTGGGAGGCCGCTATAAGGTCTCCCTGGAACCTTCTCTTCTCCAGGCTGAACAACCCCAACTCTCTCAGCCTGTCCTTGCAGGGGAGCTGCTCCAGCCCCCTGATCATCTTTGTGGCCCTCCTCTGGACCCGCTCAAGCAGGTCCATGTCTGTCTTGTGCTGAGGAACCCAGAGCTGGATGCAGCACTGCAGGTGGGGTCTCATGAAAGTGGAGTAGAGGGGCAGAACCACCTCCCTTAACCTGCTGGACACACACTTCCTGCATAAGCTACAAAAAAAGTTGTCTACTGACACCGGCTTCAACTTGGTAACCACTTAAATTTTGATTGATGAAACCACGGTAAACATATCTTTAGGCAAGCACTTAAGTACAACTTTTTTTCTTTTTCTCCTGATACCAAGTACACCTTTTGTTATCTGCTTAGGTAAAGGGGTACAAAATATCCTCCTTCACAATAACAGCAGTAACAACAATAATGAGAAGTCTCAGCTCTGGAATGCTTCTCATTGCTTCTCCCATCTGCATGATACAACCTTCGCTGAGTCATTCCCAGGACGTGGCTCTCTTCCAAAAGCATCTTTGTAAAAATGACATTTAGTTTCAGGCCGTCAAAATAATTTTCATTATTTTAGTTTGCAAGTGAGAAGAGTGTTTCCAGTCATTAGCCTGCAAACTCTCCCAGCAATGTAAAAGTCACTTCGTGTTCTTCATGACTCATATGTACCATTAGTACATTTCAATTTCTGGAAAAGTTTTCATTTGCTAGCAACCACATTATCCTCAGATTAAATTCTCATGTGGTGGCTGCCCATACCCTGTGAATGCTTTAACCAGCGTAGGCAGTTCAGTGCCAAGCCTTCAGAGAGCGGAGCTGCACATGTGTGCGTAACCTGACTTTCGTTGCATAAGTTATGCTGACTGCAGAAGTCGTAACAGCATCCAGTACATAACACCCTTGTGTTTCCTTTTTAGGGATAAAAGCAGAACAATTCTAGAATATTCTTACTGTCTCTCTGAAGGATAAAGACCATGAATTTGGGCAAAGAGCAGATATGCTGAGCAAGAAGCTATCTTTTTCGTCTGTATCATTTTCACATTGAACAACACATTCATGTACAGACAAAACCACCCACTGAACTCAACAGCTCTTTCTCTTAAGTACATTCAAACTATACATTAATGTATATATAAAATATAGCTGATACTGAAGTGACAGGTGAACATGGATTTTCAGGATCTCAACTGTGGACTCAAATTTAAATTTTGCTTAAATTTCATTTCAAGCATCTAAGTGTTGGGTTTTTTTAAAATCTGGATCTTTATGCCCTCAACTTCCATGCAGCTCCTCAGATGGCTAAGCATTAAGCCATGTTACTAATTTTGATCAAGTCTTCTTCAAAATTACTATCTAGCATTTGCAATAGTTTTGAGTGAAAAGGAAAATTTGCATTGGTGACAAGTGGATGTCAACTGCAAAATAAAAATTCTAGAACAACTTCTGCAAGGTAAGATGGTGAGTTCAATATTACCACCGTCATGAGTACTACCACTGTTACGAATATTTGATTAAACAAATCTGCATGTCAAAACTCAGTTCTCGCAAAACCATTTTCTGTTGGTGCTGTTAGCACAGCACTTAACAATCCATTAGCTTTAAGAGTTCAGTGGGACTGGACACATGAAAAAGGCGAGCTAGAGACCTGATGTCTTTCACGTTATTATGACTTCATGCAAAGAAACTGCAATCCCACTTGATGTATTGGCCCAGGAAAAATTCAAAGCTATCACTCCACCCAGATACCCTAGCCATGTGATAAGGCTATGCTTCCTGCAAACATTTCTGTCTTCCAGATCAGACAGCATCTGAGACAGACGAGGGGAAAAACAGGGCAGGGGGAGACTCTCTAGTCTGGTAATTAGGGCAGTACTTAAACGATAGGTCAGCTGTGTTCTGGTCCCGGCCTCAGCAAATGCTTAATTAATTATACAAAGTGGAATGGCACCAGGAGGAAAAGCTAAGCACTGTGAATCTCTCTCTTCTTTTGTGGCAGCCAGGGCAATCTCTTGAGAGTTGGAAGCATGGGTACAAATCCTCTCAAGCAAGGCAAGGGATTAAGCCTGGTAATCCAATACACTTCTGTGAATGCTTTAACCACAGGCCGCTGGCTAAAGGTAAGATCATGACTTCATTTTGCTGATCAAGAATTTTATCGCCCATCGCCAAAATTACTTAGCAAGTCTATGTCTAGTTCACAAGTTGTTTAAAGACTATCAAAATCACAGTTTTAAGAAACTTAATACTCTTTCTGCCACTCTCTCCAGATCTCAGCAGACCCTATTCAATACCTGCCTACACAGACTTCAGGTTTGATGTTGGCTATTTCATGCTCTTGTCTGATCCAAAGTTCATTGCTTCTGAAATCTAAGTGAAAAGAAGTATTATCTCTACTCTGCTTGTGTAAACACCTGCAGATTCAAGACATACTTATGGCAGCAGGTCCAACAACTGTCACTATCCCTGTATTTAAAATTAGGCACAGCACTTGCAAAAGATATGGAACGGCATCATGTGATGTTATAAGTCCTTGGTTAGTTACTGATTTAATAAACAGATTTTTTCCTACAAAAAAAAAGAGGCAAGAAATAGTAGCTGAGACAAAACTTTTGCCTACAGAATCTCAAGGCATACAATAGGACAAAGCCAGTGCAAGAAGCCCAGGAAACTATTTTCTGAAAAGCAGGAATTGAGCAAAAGAAAAATAAGCAATGGAGATGTATATAATGTGGCTCCTGGAGACCTGGCTGGAGAATACCTACAGGAGTGCCCACAGAAGCATGGTTTGCCTTAAAATTCTGTTCCATCGATGCCTTGTTTCTACTCTCTCTTATGGTCATTGTTGTCTCTAGAATGCTGAAAAGCCATAGACAATAAAGTCTTCTACCTATGAGGTAAGCATATAGATACCGAACGAGGTGCAATACGCAGTACATGTGTGCTATAACCAGAGGCTGGTCTGTATGTGGGAAAATCAGTTATCTGCACCTTGACCAAATAAGAGATTCAAGCCTGACACCTGTGGAAACAGAAAAGAAACAGTGGAAGAAGAGATAGGGGGTTTCCTTCTGCTTTGTGAGAAAAGCCCACACAAGTATTAATAACACGAAGATTACTGTATTTGCAAATTGTAGTTGTCTTGGATCTTACACTGACCACATCAAATCAGGCACAGACTTACTACAGGTACACCCAATGTCTAGCACACTAGACACAACAGCCTCTGGCAGTCTCTGTAACTTTACTGCAATAGAATATAGGCATCTATACGAATTGCAGGCACAGCTACTTCACAGAATCATAGAAACATAGAATCATCAGGTTGGAATAGACCTCTAAGATCATCAAGTCCAACTGTTGACCTAATACCACCATGCCCACTAACCCACGTCTAGAAGCACTACATTGACACGTTTTTTGAACACCTCCAGGGATGACGACTCCACCACTTCCCTGGGCAGCCTGTTCCAATGCTTGACTACTCTTTTCGGTAAAGAAATTTTTCTTAATGTCCAATCTAAACTTCCCCAGTGCAACTTGAGGCCATCTCCTCTTGTCCTGTATTTGCAG